TCCCTTTTCCCGTAGCGCCCATCAACATGTTGGACATAATTCTCAGTGAATACTTCACGTGTGACATCATCATCATCATCATCATCATCATCATGTTCCATTTTGATCATAATGTCCAAAGTCGGGCCAACGATGATAAGGACTTCGTCAATGTCACAGTAGTCATACTTCTCATCCAGAATAATAGCCATTGCCTTCCCACGACTTTGAGCAAGTCTGCAAGAGTAGGCCCACTGTTCATCTTTTCTAATCTCATCAGTGGTTCTGCACAACTTGTTGTGCCCTTTAGAATGAGTTTGGGACTTTCGTGAGCACCTCACATAGTCCTTCTTCTCATAGACATAGACTTCATCCTTCTGTGGATTGAACTTCACCTTCTTCTTTATTACATTGGAAGCGATCATGAAAGGTGGCTCATCTACGTCGCTGTCATCGTGGAGAAGTGCAGGGGCCGCTTTTGAGGACGATGGAGATTCTGTGTTTGGTGCAGTGTTGAACAAATGAGCGTCATGTCGTTTGTTACACTTGTCACCATATCGACATTTCCCTTTTGCCCAGTGCCAACATGGCTCGTCGATCTTCTTGGTCTTGTTAGCTGGGGATTGTCCTCTGGGCGTCTTGCCGCTCCCTTTACCATGTCCACCGCTCTTGCTGGCGTCAAACACCTTTTGATCATGGCTGTACTCACAGTCCTTTCCTTTCCTGCAAGATTTCTTGATGAAGTGGAAGTGACATGGTATCTTCTTTTTGTCGCGAGGACTGGCACTTCGGCTCTTTGATTTTCCTTTTCTTCCTTGCCCTTTTCCTTTGGCATGTTGCTTCGGTTGAGGTGATGGTAGTACAGGAGCAGCATCAGACTTTGCTTTGGGCTTTGGAGCGGCCTTTTCCTTTGCATTGGCCTTCGCTTTCGCTTTGGCGTTTGCATCAGGAGGAGCTGGAGCAGTAGGAGTAGGCGCGGTCGGCCTACCACCGCCGGCGAAATCTCTGGCATACTTTTCCCTGGCCGCGACATGCTTGTCTTCTCTGATCCTGGCAATGTGGCGCTCAATCGCGTTGATGCGATACTGATAAGTTCTTCTAGGATCTCCCTCCAACCATGATTCATATTGCTTGATGTCATACATCATCAAATTGGAGTTTCTGATCTTCTTATACAGTGCATCACGCAACCAATCATCTTGGGGCACGTCCTCAGGCATCATGTTGGAGACAATCTCCATCCACTTTTCGTAGAACGTCTCAATGTTGGCATCACCAAGGTATCGTGATTGAATGATATGCTCCATAGTGAAGGCAGTTTCACGTTGACCTGGTGTCCTGAAATGCTCCAGAATCATGGCAAGAATCTCTCGCCCCATGACAAAGGTTGATCTCCGATTGCTGGCTTGGGTTCTCAGTCGAAGCTTGATTGCAACATGTCGAGCTACATCACCAGCTTGCGAAATAACGTTTGATAGTGCAATAGAAAGCTTCGCATCAATCGACTGAAACCTTTGCCCTCCGCTATCATTCAGAGCATCGATGTCAGGGTTTTGCCTGAGCGCAGGTTGTAACCAAGCTTCCCATGCGGCTCGATCGCCGTCGTTGGCAGCGAGGCATACACTTTTAATTAGATCAGATTGCCAAACGCCCAAATTCTGGTGCTTTGGCCACGGACTGACATAGACTTTGTCCGCCTCCCGTCTGGATATCCTTGGAGGTTCTTCAGCGGTGAAAGCAGTCGTAGACTCCAAATCAATTGCTGAACCCCTCTGCGATCCACGGAGTGAAGGCAAACCAGGTGGATTGGGAGATCCAGGAGGCCCGTTAGGATCAGGAGGCCCATCTGGGAAGTCAGGATCATCGTTGCCGTCAGGTCTTCGATAATTGGGAATTCCTGCTCCTTCATCCACGCTGACCCCTTTCCCATCCAGAATCTTCTTGTTGACCTCACGCAAGAGTTCGGTCACTCTCTGATTCTCAGGATGTGAGGGTTGCTGATGTGCATGTCCTGTACCCGCAGCAGTATTAGAATGAGCTGTTGCAGATTCTTTGTTGAGCTCGTCATCAAGCTGTCGAATCCAGGCACGTAGAATATTTGACTCATCATTTGCTGCCTCAACCTCACTCTCCAACTTGCCGATCATCATATAGGGTGACAGGGCACTGCTTGTGATACCTGCAGAGAAGGGAAGTGCATTGAGATTCTCTTGGCTTTTGATGGCTATCTCTGCGTCTATGAGACCTTTCCTTAATCTGGATATCTCCGCATCTTTCATCACCAATTTCTCATCCCTATCTCTCAGCTCACCCAAATATTCACATGATCGTTCGTATTGTTGGGCTCCTGTGGCTAGCTTGTACTTACGTTCACTCTCAAGCTCTGTCCTAAGGATGGCGACCTCGGATCCGAAGGGGGTCGACGACCCTTGCCTCGAAACCTCGGCCAATTCATCCTTCAGTCTGATGTTTGTGTACATACATTCATCCATTTCTTCAGAAAGATCTTGGGCCCTAACCTGTGCGACCTTAACCTCAGTTTCGAGATGTTGTATAGCATGTTGGTTAGAACCGTGGCCGATGGCCATTGGGCCCTCCTGAAGAGACCGTCTCAGTTTGACGTTTCGGTCCTCAATCTCTGTCTTGAGCTCGTTCGTCAGCGCTCGCTCATTGTTGTATAGCATCTCATAGTGCTCCATCTTCTCGCGAGCATTTGAGCTGACGCTTGATTCAAACCTCAATTGAGCAATAGCCTCAGCCTCGGTGTTCCTGTAACTGGCAAACCGTTTGACTGTATCATGTTCTGTGTTTCGATGACGTAGATCACTCTCCAGTTTGGCATTATTGGCTTCATTGATTTTCTTGCGATACTCTCTAGTGATCTGCTCCATGTTGTTTTCATACAGCTCGGCTTGCTTACGGGAATGAGCGATTGCTTCACTCAACATCTGGTTCTCATCAGTGAGCTCATTGACAACAAAGGCTTGTCTTTGACTTGTCATCTCCAAATGAGTATGTGAGAAGTTTGCCAGTTCAGATTGACTACGATATTCTACTATGGAACTTTCAAGATTTCTCTGCATCTCGTTTCCTTCCTTGTACAATGTTTCGGCTACACTCCTAGCAAGGCTACTGTCATGTTGCATCTGTTGAAGACGTGATTCAGTATGCCCAAGTAGTCCTTGAAGGTGGTGCACCTCGTCATTGTACTCTTCCTGGATCTCAATACCACGTTGGTGGATTCGTCTGGCACCATGTTCGGCGAGTGCACCTCGACGTTCAAGTTCTTCAATACGAATGGTTGCACCTTCATCTTCCTTGGAGGCTAACATCAACTCAGCATGGTATTCAGATACTTCATTCGTAGAGTACATCAATCGTTTGTTGAGGGTGTTAATTTCATTGAATACCTGCTGATTATGTCCGCGAAGATATTCGGTGAACTTGGCCTCAATGTCCTTAATGACTTGGTCCCTTGAAGCAGCGTACATCTCGGTTTGTGTCACTTTCTCTCTCAGAATTTGACACTGTTCTCTCAGTTCTTCAATGATAGCTATTGGTTCACTGCTACCACGTGCTTCTGTTGATCTTCTTTTGGCACTGACATCACTTGACTCCCTACCATGTTTGTCCTCGACTGCCCTCGGGGTCCTGTGTCCGGTAGGTGTCCTTCTCGGTGATCGGTGGCTTCGTCGTGCATTCCCACTTCGAGCCACATCACGTGCCGATCTCGGAGTACTAGTGGTTGATGCTCTTCGATGTCTAGAAGTCATCTTTTGCCATCCAGATTTTGTCGTCCTTGTCGACTCTTCCCCGCTGTCAGCTGTTCCTGGAGAAGATTGTGAGATACCTTCTGCAGGGGCTGCGGCGTTGCCGTCAAAGGTAAATTGCGTCTCTCCGCTGTCGCCTTGCATCTTTGCGATGCTGGTGCTGATCGGATTTCACGATCTTTTGCACCCGACGTTGGTTAACAGCACGCAGGTACTCCGCCTCCGATGGAGGTTGAGAGCCCTTACGGCTGATAACCTGTGAACAGCTTAATCCCTGTTCCGGATCAATTGTTTGGTCAATTTGAGTTCCTGCTGAGCTGTTTCCAACGTTTCATGCGAACATTGCAGAGAGCAGCGATCTTTTATTGTCTGCGTTGGGGTCTTGAGCCAAACATTGCGTTTGGCCAAAGGTCCATTGAAATATATGGGAATTAGTTATACTGTACTCCCATCTACATCCCATTTGCAATATGTATATATATATATGTATACGTGTATATATATATATACATATAGAGAGATAGATATTATGCATATGTACAATATTTTGAGACTCTGGATTTTAGATTTGGACTTTTCTATTAACAAAATTCAGAATGAGGACGCCACCAACATCAAAAGCCATATATCAATGGTGGATTGGGTCAGCACAAAGGCTGGGTCGTGTCTCGGGGGGATTTTGCACCAATGGTGGAGAATGGAGAAGACTGCTGGGGCCAATACTTCGTGATCACAAGGTAACCTTCAAGCTGGGGGGATGACCGTGATTTAATCTCCAGTGCTAATTCCAAACCTCAAATTACAGTAGGTTTAAGCCCATTTATGAATAGAAATGCGGTAAGTGACCCCAATTCCACTGGCTCACAATCATTTCTCCCAAAGTGCAATAAATTCAGGTAAATTCCAACTGTTCGACAACCCCCAATATTGGTTGATATACCGAGATAGTACTCCCCAAACATTCTTGGTATGGGCCCCCAACACCTTCATTCCACTGGCATGATTGGGGAAGACACCCCCATCTGGGTCTGAAAATAGGGTAACTCCAACCCCTATGGTTTATCATAGTTTTCCCGATTAAAATGTCCGGGATATCACCATTTCAGACAAACCCCCTGACCATCCCCTTCTAGGGGCAGGTCCCATGTTTTGACCATGATTCATCAGATGTAACATATCAAAAGATAGAGATGATAGAGATGATATATCCCACTAACATCCCATTAAAATTAAATTGCATTAACATTCACCTTAATGGGATAAACAATCTCTAATTAATAAACATCCATAATCGAAAGCATAAACACCTGGCCTCTTGCTTCTGATGAACGACTCATCTTGGATCTGCTGTGTGTGCTTCGCATACTCGTCTGGGAAGACGTTTCCTGAGTGGTTCAGCCTGCCAGTTTTATGTTGGGCTAGCGTGATCCGGCATGGAGAATCTTGGATCCAAAGATCCAAACAGGAGCCAGGGACCTGAGTCTCTTGTCGTTTTTTTCTTGGACCCAAGGACCCAGAAATCCATGAAAAGGTGATCAAGCGGCCCTTGGTGATGGGTTCCGTACCTTTCTCTTTTGGAGTTCTCTTTTTTTTTACTTCCTTACCTCAGTACCCCAAGTGGGGGTCATAATAGTTCATACTATATACCCTCTGGTAAACTAACATAACTATGGAAAATCACCATTTTCAATGGGAAAATCCACTATAAATAGTTAGTCATTACCAGAGGGTAATATTGATCGTTGTTGAATACACCGATCTTCGTCCCAGTCAGAGTTTGTGGCCACCTGGTCTTTTCATCCCACCAAGGGGCGAATAAATTCCTGTCGGTCGATCAAGCCGTCCTGAGAATTCGAAACGATCAAGGCTCATAGGAAATTCATTGAAACATGTACCCCGGGGGAATAATGGTTCATTTACAGTAATGGTTACTAATGGTTACTAATGATTACTAATGGTTACAGTAATGGTTACTAATAATGGCTCAATAATGGTTGATAATATTGGTTACTAATGGTTACTAATGGTTACTAATGGTTACTAATGGTTACTAATGGTTACTATTGGTTACTATTGGTTCATTTACAGTAATTCCAACAATTGACACTGTCCAATGGAATGAATCGAAACGCTTGAAATCTTCGATGAAATGCAGCATCTGTAAAACAAAATGAGCTCCGAGTCCTCGTTGCTATCCACGAAATGGAACAACTTGGCGGCTGTCTCCACGCTGACGCCAATTCCTCAGTCTCTCTGATTGTTTAGGGATGGCGAGTAGCCATGAAATTGAGTTATCTTAGTCATCTTAGTCATCTTTCAGTTCAGATGGGAAACAAATTTCATTGGAAATTGAGAAGCCAATTTGTCTTGCGAGAAATGTTCAGAACCTTTGTCACGCAACCAGTCGTCACAGAGCCATAAACGCAACCAGTTTTGGGTGGGGCTTTACTACTTGGATATCCAAATTCTACCCGCCACTTCCACAAGACGGATCTCATCTGACATCTAGGATCTCATCTGACGGATCAACTCAATAAATTCACTCAGCTGTAGTTGACCATCTGCATCCTCATCCGCAAAATCCTCAGTTTTTCACTGAAGGATTGGGTGAAAGTCAAAAGACGCCCAGATCCAGATGTGTGTTGGGACTGTGACACGGTGATACAGTGATACATGCCAAAATTAGAAACCACCAGAGGAATCACGATCAACCATCTTAATGGATGATGCCTAAAATCCCAGTTAAAATAGGCACAGGACATTTACCAGTTTGTTTCAGGCATTGCCAGCATTGGAGAAAAAATGGGTTAAAAATCAAATTACGTCAATTGTCCAACACATAAATCTAATGTCATTTGAATTTCTCATTTTGAATCATTTTGGTGATGATTCCCTATAACCTGGGGTTAACTAATATAGAAATGTCGCGGTTTCCACAGCAAATGATCTTTAGATTTTGCATGTTCCTATGTATATGGATAAATATTGGATAAATTACAATAGTTCACTCTGGAAAGTTCCGCTTCTTTGGGATGATTCCCCAATCCGAAAACCATCACTCCAAGCCATCGAAAAAATGGATAGCCAGGGTTGACCTGTGAAGAGCCAGGTGCCATTTGGGTACAACAAAAATAGAGCCATAGATAGGACAAATAGGAAATACTTCCAACATTTAGATAAAAAGAAGAAACATAGATCGAAAGGATTGCATGCCTAGTCCATTGAATCCTGAAGTTCGCCGAGTCAACATCAGCTGCAACCCGCACCACCGAGTTTCAAAGAGATGTTCCACGTCCGTGAAGGAATAACCAAATTTGGCCAACGCATTTCTGAGGCGCGTCTTCAGAAGCATTTCCTCGTGGCAAGCTATGGTTTGTCAAATGATGATTCACCCAGTTCCAAGGAGCAGCCCTTAATTACATCACAAAGTGTACAGTACGTGTTTGAAACGCCTTCGTTACTGGTGGCTGCTTATTCTGGTGGAAAGTCGGCTCTTCAAAGCAGCTGGAGGATTACTCCACTGAATTTCATGTGCCGTCATTCGTACGTATGCAAAAGAAAAATCCGAGATCAATCTGATGATGAAAATGCCAGCGGCGAATACTTTTCACACAGGTCGTAGTGAAGGTGGGCAGGTTTGAGGCATAGGGCAAACTGCAAGCCAGAATGTATGGTCGCATACGGATCATGTGCAGGCTGCACATAAGTAACAGCTGGGTAGTTGGTAGATTTGGGGTAGCATGGAAGGTGACATCTGAGGATAGTGTAAAGGTAGTGGCCCCGCAGATTGGCCGACCAAGTGAGGATGTCCCCAACGAGACATCAGTTGGACATCCAGTCATTTGGGTAATTTATATAGGAGTTGTTGATGGATGTTCATCCCCCTAATGTGGGAAACCCAATACATCCAATACAAAACCTACCATTTGGCGATGGTTTATAGAGCCCATGTATGGTGATTTTGGAGATGGTTTATGGCATTGGGTTTACCACATTAGTCCATTTGTCATTGACCCATCCCTACATGCCCATGTTTTAACGAGCAAGGCCCGACATCCCTGGTGGTTGATGATAATGGTCTCCAACATATTTTATGGGTTAGTATAAACCATTGGGTATACCGTATACCAAATTCCACTATCATAAACTGTCAACCCTTTTTCTAGCCCAACCATTATCATCCATAGTCATCAATTTCCTGTGTTTTTTGAAGCACCTCCTTTGAAACCTAAGCCAATGAAGCCTGCTGCCAAGGTTCTGCACGCTTCTGCCAGGTTACATTGAACTCATGCCCGATGATGCCTACCTTTGAACGCAACACCCCGGTGACCCCCCAAGAATAGATGGCTCATAATTAATAAGTTGTTATGAAGGTGGTTGTTGGTGAGTTGGTGGTTCATAAACCTCTTTACCAGTAGTACCGCACAAGGCGGTGGCGGAAGTTTTTAAAATAGGAAACTATAGGAGAGGTGAGTTTTTGTGATGAATGGGTGGCAGACAAACCCACTAATGGACCGAATGGTGGTTGAAGCACTCTCTCGTTCACCTTCTCTCTGTGTCTCTCTATCTCTCCCACTGTCTATCCATCCATCCATCCATCCATCGATTGATCGATAGATCGATCGATTGATCTATCGATCTATCGATCTATCAATCTATCGATCTATCGATCTATCGATCTATCGATCTATCTATCTATCTATCTATCGATTTATCTATCTATCGATCGATCTATCTATCTCTACGCACAGTCCCCGTGGTTTGCCCGGATTGCAACATTGAGGATTCCCTGTCGTCGAACATGAGAAGAGAAATTGCAAAAAATACTGCGTATACGGCGTGTTTTCTGCTTTCGGAGTCAGAGTTTTCAGGGTTTTAGGGTTTAGGGTTTTAGGGTTTTGGGTTCGTCGTCCGGTAAGTACCAAAACACTGGCAACGCGCAGGTTTTTGAGCATGTCGAAGGATTATATATTGAACTCCATTCTAACCTTGCGGGCAAAGCATAGGGTCTTGCCGTATTTATAGTGTAGTGTAGTTGTAGTTCTAGTTCTAGTTGCAGCTGTAAGTGTAGTGTAGTGTTGTAGATGCAGTTGCTGTTGTAGTTGTAGTGTAGATGTAGTTGTAGTGTAGCTCTAGCTGTAGCTGTAGCTGTCGCTGTCGCTGTAGTGTAGTGTAGCGTGCTGTGATGTAGCGTAGTGTAGCGTATTTGTAGCTGTAGCTGTAGCTGTAGTGTAGCGTGCTGTGATGTAGTGTAGTGTAGTGTAGCGTAGTTGTAGCTGTAGCTGTAGTTGTAGTCTGGTGTAGCGTAGTGCAGTTGCAGTTGTAGTTGTAGCTGTAATTGTAGTTGTAGTTCTAGTTGTAGTGCTGTTCTAGCTGTAGTTGTAGGCTGTAGTTGTAGGCTGTAGTTGTAGGCTGTAGCGCAGTGTAGTCTAGTGTAGTAGTGTAATGTAGTGTAGTTGAAGCCTAGTGTAGTGTAGCGCATCTGTAGTTGCACATCTGGACCACCTTCGGCCATTTTGGCCCCTGACGGCGGTATATGGTTTCTAGTCATCCATCATATGGGAATCCAAACATATATAATGGGCATACAAATCCCTATAGATTGATGACCAGCCAGGATATTTTGGTACAATCCAACTAACTTGACCATGGCACACATGTTACTCTACTATATAATCTATCTGTTTTTGCTTGTTTATGCTATCGCCGGCAGTACCGGCGTGGAGGAAAGCGAAGTTTTTTACATATTATGTCTCTACTTGGGTTGGGGTGGGGGGGTGGGGTTAACGGTCCATTCGTTGCATTTTTACATGTCATGCTATGCTGCTGCGCGTCTTTGTCAAATGGGGCATGGGGGCGGGGTGGGGTCGTCCAATAACGTCATGGTACGCTCCCCTATCTTCTTTTTCTTAACATACCTATAGGCCATGCTACGCTCCTCACTCTTCTCTTGTTCTTAACGTACCTTAGTCATGCTACGCTCCTCAATCTTCTCTTGTTCTTAACATACCTATGTCATGCTACGCTCCTCAATATTATTTTGTTCTTAATGTACCTAAGACATGCTACCATACTAAATCTTCTCTTGTTCTTAACATACCTATAGGTCATGCTACGATACTCAATCGTCTCTTGTTCTTAACATACATATGTCATGCTACGCTCCTCAATCATCTCTTGTTCTTAACATACCTACATCATGCTACGATACTAAATTTAAATCTTCTCTTGTTCTTAGCATATCTACGTCATGCTACCATACTCAATCGTCTCTTGTTCTCAACATACCTAAGTCACTCTTCGCTCCTCAATCTTTTGTTGTTCTTAACGTACCTACGTCATGCTACGCTACTCAATCTTCTCTTGGTCTTGGCATACCTACGTCATGCTACGCTCCTCAATCTCTTCTTTCCGTAGTATACCTAGGTCATAAAACGCTACTCAATCTTCTCTTGTTCTGAACATTCCTACGTCATGCTACGCTCCTCGATCTTCTATTGTTCTTAATGTACCTACTTCCTGCTACGATTCTCAATCTTCTCTTGTTCTTAGCATACCTACGTCATGCTACCATACTCAATCTTCTCTTGTTCTTAACGTCCCTACGTCATGCTACGATACTCAATCTTCTCTTGTTCTTGGCATACCTACGTCATGCTACGCTACTCAGTCTTCTGTTCTTAACAGACCCTGAAAGCAGGCACTCAGACTTACTTTGGACTTTATTCCGAAGCAAATCAATACAAAGGATCCCAAGACCAGTATCTCGAATGGAGACTTGTGGCATTTGATTCAGTGGCAGTGGCGCTACAACAATCGCCACAACCTGTGACAAATGGTGCCTGAGTTCATGCCACATTCGAAACAATTGACAACTCGACGACTTGAAATGTCGCAGGCAACAAAACTCCACGCCAATAACGACGGCGATACCCTGTTTATGCCACAGGGGGAAAACGCTCCAGTAGTCGTGCACGTTTTGTAAAACACGCACATGCTACGTCACGCCAGGATATGCCAGGGTTTCAGGTGGGGGGGTGTTAACGTTCATGTCAACTTGCCGCACACGCACATGCTACTTCACGCCAGGGTTTGGGGTCAGGGGGGTGTTAACGTTCATGTCAACTTGCCGCACACGCACATGCTACGTCATTTGGGGTGGGGGGTGTTACCGTTCATGTCAACTTGCCGCCCACGCACATGCTACGTCACGCCAGGGTTTGGGGTGGGGGGGTTTTGACGTTCATGTCAACTTGCCGCCCACGCACATGCCACGTCACGCCAGGGTTGTGGGTGGGGGGGAGTGTGCTAGCGTTCATGTCAGCTTGCCGCCCAAGTATCTATATTTTTGTTTATCTGACGTAAATGTAAATGTTTTGTATGATTTATACATATATTATACATATACATATATATATATAATGTATACATATTGTTACATATCTAATAATCTCATATTTCAAATGTTGAGTTATGTTATTTGTTGGGTTTATGTGGTGTGTATATGTATATATTTAAAAAAATATATATATATTCTTAATATATGGTATGTTTTATGTAAAGATACGTTCTATATAATTTAATGTTTATGTAATATATATATATGATATTATATTATGTAAATATTATGTAATGTCATGTTCTAATGTGTTATGTATACATATAAATATATATGTTATCTTCAAAAATATATGTGTATACATTAAAAAACAAATGTGTTATATAAATATATATATATATGCATTTGTTATGTTATATAATATATGTGTTTATATGTTCATGTTTTATATGTGTTTAAATATATCTGTGTGTATATATATATATATTGTGTGTGTGTGTTATGTTATGTCTTTCTGCCAGTGTGCAGGAGACATCGAAGCAGACGGCACATCCATTCATTCCTGGAAAGGGGTGTTTTGTATCAAGAAACCAATTAGAAATACGACAGTTCTAATACACACAGGTGGAGTCGATGCAATGTGGCGGCTGTCAAAATCGGCCGACCAGAGTCAACAGCCAAGTGAACCCAAAGCAGATGCGAAGCATCAGGGTCTGGCAATGGCAGTGGATGAACTCCAAAGCAAAAAGCCTTTTGGAAATCACCCTGGTCGCTCTTTGCAGAAGCGCATGGCCACGTGAAAGGAGGAAAACACCGCGCGAGTTTGGCAAAGCAAATTTCCTGTAAATGCAGGAGTTGATCAAAAAATCAATGAAAATTCCCGGGGAATTTTAGTCACTTTTTCTGGAATAGATCAATAGTTTCGCTATGGCGAAAACGGCATTTTTTCAAAAACGCTCATAACCGCTGGCGCTGTTTTCCCCCCGACGGGTTTGTTTATGTATTCATTTTTAATCATGTACTAATTGTTCTGTATACAGTATGTATCCCCATGCAAGTAGCTTAAAGTAAAGGCTGACACTGACTGATGACACATCCGTCAGTGCTGTGGGTCAAGGAGGGTGCATTCAGGTCCCACTTTGCGGGACACGACCATGGTGTCATTCAGGGACCCAACAACCCAGCCAGGATGACCATATCCATTGCAGATCCCGGGTAAATTCCCAAGTTTGGATACTTATGTGGGCTGAGAAGGATTTCATCAGCGAATTTTGTGTCTTCTCTTCTGTAAAGGTGACCCAAAATCTTCCCTTCAAAACTGGCACAGAAAAGTAGCGGAGTAGCGCGCGCCTTTGCAAGTTGAATTCCCTTTCAGACGCCATGTGTTACTTGAGCAATCCAGCGACCCCACTCCTTATCGAAAACCCTAGGCAGCTTCCTTTCCGACTCCAAACTGCCCACTAGTTTACAGTAATCGTCACCGTTTTGAGTCCTATCTAAGACACCACTTGATATCAACCTGGCAGCAGCTCATAATTCCAGTCGTTGACCCCCAACTCGTCCCCATGGCAATAGAGACTGGTGGCTGGCAACGCAAGGAACAGTACACTCACGAAGGTCAGGGCAGAGACCGTCCAATAGCCTCGCCACATCAGGAGCGGTGCTTATGTTCCTATGATGATGGCAAGGTCGCCGGAGAAAAGTCACCGCGCCTCCCATAGAGACGGGGAAATAGTCCCCATATCCCACCGTGGTCATGGTCACCAAAGCCAGCCACAGGCTGTGGGGCATGCTGGGAATGTTGCTGCGATCCTCCTGCACATAGATGGCTGTTCCAAACAGCAGCACCTCAGTCGAACGGTGGTCAAGTGACAGAACCTCCTTGAAACATATTCAAATAGTGTCACTTGGGCCCTTCAAAATAAACCTATCCCATCTCAATAGACGCTTTCCATACCATGGGTTGGTTCATAAAAATTCAAAAAACCAGGCTAAACTCCCGATTTCAGATCTCAACCAGGCTGTCCGTGATATGTTTGAATGGTTATTAACACTGCTCAATTGGGATTTCCCAAGGAATGAAACACTACAGCGACTGAGCGGCCCTGGATGATTTGGTTGCTCCCAACACCCCAAATACAAAGGTGGTAACTTGGGTAAATGCAAAAGTCAAATCACCAATTCAATCCCGAAAGCTTGCAATGACTGGCTATCGATCTATGGATGCCATAGCCAATCTTTTTGACTCTCCTTGGTCCCTCCGATCCACCCTTTTTGAACAAGTTGCGATGAAGGCCATGATGTAGGTGAGAACCTTATCTTGTTTGAATGGTTGGTTCATGGGGATTCCCATTTCATTGGCTCTTCCAGAACCACCAATATATAAATGGTTATAAACGTTGTGCAAACCCCTATATACTCATCAACCAACTGGGGTGTTTGAAATTGTTCATTTTTACCCGGGTTCTCAGCATGGTTGCGTTTAGCTGAACGTATCTCATCGTCATTGTTGGACTCATCGCCTGCGTCATTAGTTTATCAGCATGGTTCTACTCGGAGGGCAATCCCGCTTGGTAAGTGGTTATTTTTCCTGTTTAGTAATTAGTAAGTCCCCAAGTGGGGTTTCCCCATAATACAATATAATAAAATATCAGATAGTATAAAATAGTAATTATAAGATAAGATGAGGTAAGATGATAAAATATAATATGATATAATATAAGATAAGATAATAAAACATAATACAACAATATGGTAATTTTATAAGATAAACTATAATATAATATTAAAAATTCTATGGTAATGAAATATTTTACAAGACAAAAACATAGAATAAAATAAAAGGTAAAATAATACAATATAATGCAATAGAACATAACAGAATCAATATCAAATAATATTGAACAAAATACTTCAATGAATACTTCACATCATTTTTCATAAGCTATTGAAAATAATATTTAAACTAATCTTTAATGGAACGCTGCATAGAACTTTTGACATAAGATAAAATATGATATTAAACCGAACTTAATATTATATTATATAGGTTTAAAAATAACACCAATATAGAGTATTAAAAAAACAAATATATCATATACTATAGTAAAACATAATATAATACAATATAACTTCCTATACTGTAATTTGATATAATTTAATAAAATATATTACAATACAATAAATTATGATATAATACCGAATAATATAATCTAATACACAAAACAATACAAAACATAGTCTTATATAATATACAACAATACAGTAATCATACAACCTAATGATTGAGCATTATATAATACAATATAATATGATATAATACAAAAAAAAACGGTAATATTGAAGAAAAAGTTGTTAGATATATATAGTTTTACACTATACTTTAAAAAAGGAAAGTACAAGATTTAATACAGGGTAAGATAGTATAAGAAGAATATATAACATAATATCATATCAAAAAAATCTTCTTCAATATTCAAATAGTAAAAAAAAAGTTTAATACAGTGTGAACCACATCAAACAATAAATTACATAATATGACAAATGCAGTATATATAGTAAAATATAGTAATAATATATTTATTATATATATATATATACATTGTTTTAATTTAATACAATAATATAAAACAAATTAATGTAATACATTGTAGTAATATAGTAAAAAAGAAAAGAACGCATTATAAAAGAGAATAGAAGAGAAAATATGCTATAATATTATTTGATATGATATAATATGATACAATATGGTATACACATTGGTTGGAACCATAGTTACTTACCGGTCACTACTGTACGCGGTGTGATAACTCAGCTTTCAATTATCAACTTTCATGCTGAGTAGCGGCCCACGTTTGCACAGACAATATTAGATAGCAAGAGACCAGGCAAATTATGGCTGTCAGTTCCGGTGCTTACCGCCCAAGACCCTTGCCCCTTGCCTAGAACAGGGGGAGCACATCAGAGAAGCAATTGCAAGGCCAGTGTCTCTCCATCCCCGGCGTAGTTTTGGTTTTCTTTCTTCTTGATTCTTGACATTCCAGAAAGCAACGTTAGGCACTGGCAGCCCCCGGCCAGGCCGCCGCGTCCTTCAGCAGCATGGGGATTTGGCGTTTTGTGTTTCTCCATCCCCACGGTAATTATCCCCACCGTAGTTTTGGCTTCTTCTTCCAGAAAGCAACGTTAGGCACTGGCAGCCCCAGCCGGCCGGGCCGCCTCGTCCTTCAGCAGCAGTGGGATTTGGCGTTCTGTGTTTCTCCATCCCCACCGTAGGTTTTGCTGTCTTCTTGACATTCTAGAAAGCAACGCTAGGCACTGGCAGCCCCCCGGGCAGGCCGCCTCATCCTTCAGCAGCATGGGGATTTGGCACTTCGAAGCCTGTGCTTCTCCATCCAGAAAGCAACGTTAGGCCCGCCTCGTCCTTCAGCAGCATTGGGATTTTGTGTTTCGCTATCCCCGCCATAGTTTTGGCTTTCTTCTTGTCTCGTCCTTCGGCAGCATGGGATTTAGTTTGGAGCTCATTTTGACGGTGGGAGCTGCCTTCTGGAGAGCAGTTTCTTGTCGGTTCAGAAAAGCGACGGTAGGCACTGCCTCCGTCCCTCAGCGGCATACTGCCTTGCTGTTTTGCAAGCGCCCGCTGAGGGTCCATTGTGGAGCTCGTTTTGGAGGCCAGGGAGCTGCTAGCCTCCTTGCCGGTTCAGGAAGCGATTGGGCAGTGGACCGCCTCCGTCCCTAAGCAACATGGTGCATTGCTTTTTCGCAAGCGCCCGCTAAGGGTCCATTTTGGAGCTCATTTTGGAGGCCTGGGAGCTGCAAGCAACGTTAGGCGGCACTGCCTCCGTCCCTCAGCAACATGGTGCTTTGCTGTTTCGCAAGCGCCCTTTAGGATGCGCCTGCTCAACGTCTTTGTTGGGGACTCAGAGAGCACAGTTGTTGAGGTTCCCTACTCAGGTTCAGCAATCATTGCAAAAAGTGCTGGAAATGTTCAATGAGAAAGCCTGCCAAAAGCAACCAGTGCTATCTCTATGTCGAACTTGACTGCGGCTGTCAGGCGTTTTGGCCTCGACCGTGGTGTTGCATGTGGGGCAAGCATGCAAGTAGGACCGGCACACCACACACCCATTCTTACCTCTCATTGCGTGTCCTCCTACGGACATCTCAGGACATGACGACTAGCAACTTGGGGCATGGGGTACCAAGCAATTTGCCAAGTCATGGCGATAGAAAGCACTGGCTTGGAAATAGAATGGGATATCTATACTGGTGTGTATGTCGCCATATTTTTGCTTCCAGGAAGGAATGTCAGCAATGCCTGTGGTGGCCTTAAAAAGATCCTAGATCACACCGGTTTTGGAAACTTCCAATCAATTCGACCCCAACTCTTGTGATCTTTTGATTTTTGGTCTCTTCAATCTGCATCACGTTCCCCTTGTGCCATGTCACAGGCAAAGCTTCTGCAGACTTGGCGAAAGCGTCCACCAACAACCTGATTTTTATGTGCATCTCAGGATTCAGAAGTGGTGAAGAAGCCTGGTTCATAAGTCCCCCAACTGCGGTTGTTTCATGTATATCCGAGTTATTGACATGGACCCTATGCAATGATTGGCCACGATTTGCCAC